GCAAACCAAAATGAGGAGGTGTCAGACTTCACAAACCAACCCAACCCCAAACCTATTCATTAACTCAAAAAGCATCTTCTGTTCTGTCAATTTTCTAGGAAAAAAAAAAAAGGATTTATTTTTTTCAAATAAAAACATTACTTTAAAAAAACCCAACAACTGTATTAAGCAGAAATACTCCTCATTATTTGCTGCAGTGGAGGGAAATGGGGGTTGGCTGTTGGCTGAGGGCTGCTCTTCCCCTTTGCCCTTCTGCTGCCAACCTGTGCCATGGGACAGAGAATTTCTGAGCCATGGACAGAGATTTGCAGGTGTGATAAGGATGATTTGAGATCCTGAGGCTCCCATTTATTCCTGATGCCCAGATAATTGTTGTTTTTCCCTGTATCCATCCTCGTCCTCCCTCCAGGAGCTCTGAGCTCAGCACACCCTCCAGGGCACAGCCTGGCAATCCCTGCCTGCTCCCAGCTCCCAGCGCAGTGAGGGAAGGGAAGGAGATCTCTCCCCAGCAGGAAATTTGCCCATTAACACCCCAGACACCAAAGCCTCAATGGAGCTCTTCCCTCGGAACCAGCTCAGATGCCTCTCCCTGATGGGAAGTCTAAAAATAAGCACATTCTCCACAAACAGCTTAAAGATGTTGAAAATGAAAAGCAACAAAGGCTGGAGAATGGATGAGTCACTAAATTACAGGGCTATCTTTCGAAGAGCAAAACAAAAGCCCACAGAGCCCTCCCAGCTCTGGCTGCTGGAATTCCTCCTGGGTTTGGGGCTGGGCTGGGGCTCTGAAGGGTGAAATCTCACCCAGTTCTGCTCTGAAGGGTTAAACCTCACCCAGTTCTGCTCTGAAGGGTGAAACCTCAGCCAGTTCTGCTCCGAAGGGTGAAACCTCACCCAGTTCTGCTCTGAAGGGTTAAACCTCAGCCAGTTCTGCTCCAAAGGGTGAAACCTCACCCAGTTCTGCTCTGAAGGGTGAAACCTCAGCCAGTTCTGCTCCGAAGGGTGAAACCTCAACCCAGTTCTGCTCTGAAGGGTGAAACCTCAGCCAGTTCTGCTCTGAAGGGTTAAACCTCAGCCAGTTCTGCTCCAAAGGGTGAAACCTCACCCAGTTCTGCTCTGAAGGGTGAAATCTCACCCAGTTCTGCTCCAAAGGGTGAAACCTCACCCAGTTCTGCTCTGAAGGGTGAAATCTCACCCAGTTCTGCTCTGAAGGGTTAAACCTCACCCAGTTCTGCTCTGAAGGGTGAAACCTCAGCCAGTTCTGCTCCGAAGGGTGAAACCTCAACCCAGTTCTTCTCTGAAGGGTTAAACCTCAACCCAGTTCTGCTCTGAAGGGTGAAACCTCAGCCAGTTCTGCTCCAAAGGGTGAAACCTCACCCAGTTCTTCTCTGAAGGGTTAAACCTCAACCCAGTTCTGCTCTGAAGGGTTAAACCTCACCCAGTTCTGCTCCAAAGGGTGAAACCTCACCCAGTTCTGCTCTGAAGGGTGAAACCTCAGCCAGTTCTGCTCCACTCTGTGCCAGAGCTGCTCTGGGTGGAGAGAGAAAAGCCAGCTTGCCCAGCAGCACGAACAGGAGCTGCTGTTCTCTCCCACCTGGGAATTGCTGGGAGTTTTTGGGATAACCCCCCCCAACATGAGCTCCCAGGATAAGGAGCCTTCCTGCAAGGGGCTGTCAGCAAGAATTCCTGTCCACAGAGGGTTCCCTGGCCCCAAGGAAGCCACAAGTGTGTGGAGTCTCAGCTGGGAGACCTCTGTGGGTGTCACTGGCTGTGCCTTTAGCTGGCTGAGATAACACAATGAAAGCTCTGGGATCTTCCCCCTCCCTCAAGGTCTCCGTTCAGTGAGCTCCACCAGCGTGGACTCCGTTGCAAAGCTGCAGCTTTTTTAGCGTTTGCAGATGAGCTCGGATCCCAAATGCTGGCATTTGAGGCAGCGGGAAAGGGGCTGGCCTGGTGCCAAAGCTGTGCCTACATCTGATGTTTGCAGCCAGCCCCAGGCTCTGGGAGAGGCTGCAATGAACCCACGGATCCCACAGATGGTGGGGCTGGGGT